TCCGACTTGAGCCACTTATGGGCATTCGAGACACCTCCAGAGGGACTAGTACGGAGCCACCCACGAAACCAAGCCTCTGTCCCCGAGCCACCCTTGACCCGAGCCCGCCGGCAAACAAGAACGGCCTTATCGACGAGCTCGCGAACCGAGCCCGCGCAACCAGAGATGCCGGCGCGCGCCCGCGACCGACGCGAGGCCGCGGCGGGCTCGCGGAGAGGCCCCTCGCGGGCCCGCGGCTGGCCCGACAACAGTCGCAGCAGATCCGATCCAACGATTGCCTGAAACCATGAGCTTTCGCCAAACACTTCAGAAGGCAACGCAGTCGGGGGTGGGCCAGGAACCAGAAGCAGAGGCAGTTGCGCGCGAGGCTCTGTTTCTGACAACCACGTCTCCTAGGCGAACCAGAGCGCGTTAAAGCCCCAGCCCGCGCCCCAACGCTCGATCGGGTCGAAGGGCCGCGCGCCCCCTGGCCAGGGGCGCGCGCTCGGAGGTCCTGGGCCGCAACGCGCGGGCGACAGGGGCGCGGCGAGCGCAACATCCTGGGAGCAAACGAGATAATCGATCACGGTCGCACCCGCATCGCAGGCGCAACCGAGCGTGACCTAGTCAGCTCGAGCCAGCCAGATGCCCCGAGGGCCTCAGGAACATCGTTAGAGTCACCAAAGAAACCACGGGATCGCCAGGGTCTGGATAAACTGACACATGCCACGCACTAGACACACGTTCTCTGTCACCCGCCACATCAGTAGACGGCGCCACATAACAAACTCTAGCGGCAGGCTGGAATCCACGCAGCTCAAGCTAAAAAAGTAGGCAACACGTTCCAGACCCCACCCGCGCAACAAACGGGCACGCAGTCAAGAAACCCCGACGCCAACTCGACCGCGAGCGTCACCTCCAGAAGAACACAAAGCAGCCTGGAAATACGGGGACCACCCTATAGCAGGAGCGTCCTTCTTGGCCTTCGGCAGTGCACCATGCCGCGCACGGTCTTCAACCGCAGCATCAGCTTGTGTGAAATATTCAGCCGCAGATCCCTTAGAAAGCGTGGACCACGAGGTGGCACTGCACACATCAACTGCAACGGTTCACTCTTCCTGCGCGCGCCACTTCTCTGCCGGCACTGGCTCGCTTAAGAGAGTGCCCGCCGCCAGCGGTCGCAGGCTGGAGCTGGGCGGCCGCTGCTCGGCAAAAGGTGGCGGGAAAAAGACGGGGACTGCTGCGCGAAGGCGTGGCGGGCGCGCTTCCCCGCGCGAGGCTCAGCGGCCGTCTGCGCGGGCTTGCTGCCCCGCTCGGAATCCTGGGCGCTGAGCCCCGACTCAGCATCGCGTCTGCGAAGGAAGATCACGCAACTCAGCAAGGTCACCCGCATCGCCCACGTCGGTAACCTCACTGCTGTTGTCCTCCATCTACACGTCACGCCCAGTGGCCTGGGCTTGGCCCGCGCCAGCATGGCCTTGCACTGCGCGGTACCAGTAGCAGAATTACATTCGAAACGCGCGAGGCCGGGCTCCTCGAGGGCGTGCCTGTTCGATTCGACAGAAGCGAAATCCACCGTACCCGCAAGCGCGAGACCAGGAACATGAGACCCGGGTGCATGAGCAGAAGCTGGAGCGGCGCCATCAGGAGCAGCACCGTGCTCGTGATCACGAGCACGATCTGGATGAAGACCAGGCTGGGCAGGTCCAGGCCGAGCACGCGCCGCACCTGCATGAGCCTTCTCCGCCGCCACCAACGCTGCAGCCGCCTCTGCGTCAGGACGTTCTTGATCCCGTAGCGCAGTCAGCACGGAACTGGTTCTCGTCGAAATTGTCATTGGCCGCCGATCCTGTCCGAAACGCAGCTTCCGCCTCAGCATGCCACTGCTGAGGCTCGATGTGCTTCTCCTCCGATTTCGCGAGCGCCTCGCGAAGTCGGACGAGAACTTGATGCTTCTCTTGTACAGCTGCTTCGGCCACCCGCTCCTTACGGCTCGACTGCTCCGCCTCACGGGACAACCCAGTGCACCTCGCCCAGATGCGCTTCTCGGACGCAGGTTCACGGGCGACAGGAGCGGGCGGCGGCGGGGCTGCCTGGAACTGGCCCAGGACGCCCGCCATGTGGAGGCACTTCTCCGCGAGGGAGCGGAGCTCGGCAGCGAAGGGGTCAGCATCACAATGGCCAGGAACACCAGGACGGGTACCGCCAGGCGGAGCACCACCAGGAGGAAGGTACTCGCCCCCGCACTTGCTGCACAGCCAAGACCCGGTATGCAGCGCGGCGACGGGCCCTGCCGCCCTGTTGCGGCTGATGGTGCTGCTTGTCCGCGCCGCGTTGCCTCGCCGCCTTTCCACGGGGCACGCGACCGCCACACCATGGAGACTGGATGAACGGAATGCCCCAGCAAGAGCTCACACATGAAACTCGGGACCACGGTCCCGCGAACAGTCTGGACGTGGTGCCACAAAGGCTCGGGCAAACGCCACGGATGCACCCTAAACTAATCGTGATCCGGTATGTCACTTCACCATCACACGCTTGGCCTTGAGCCAAAATGGCTACGGACAGGAGGGCGGAGGGCGGAGGAGGAGGAGAGGGATGACGGAGAGGAGGCGGAGGCAAGACTTGCACCTCGGAGGCCTCCACGGACGAATTCTGAGGGCGCCGCTGTGGCTCCCCGTCCCCCGTGGTGCTCTTCTGTCCTTCCTTTACTGCCACTATTCTTAGGTCGGGCGTGTCCGTCCCCTACCCGACCCGTCCGTCAGCGTCGCCTGGCTGGGATGCAACTCCTGGGAGATCAAATCCTGATGTTTCACTGGTCCGAAGTCCGGCTTAGTCCGGCGTAATTATAGGAAGGCACCAACTATACACCAACACCGATCCTGGCCAGGATCACCCTGGGCCCAGGATCGGTGTATACGCCCTCCTGCCTTGCGCAAGAAGGCATATACACCGATCCTGGGCCCAGGGTGATCCTGGGCCAGGATCGGTGTTGGTGTATAGTTGATGCCCTCCGATAATTAAGCCCGATTAAGCCCGCTTAATCCTGCTTAGTCCCCCTGTAGCGGGACAGGCCCGACTTAATGCTGGCAGGGTGGCACGTCCCGTCCGCGTGCGGAGCCCGGGCCTGGGCGGCCGCAGCGCTGCGCGACCCGGTGCGGCGGCGTGGCCGGCTCGGCGTCCCCGGGTGGAGGGCTTGCTCCTGGGCCCCAGGGCCGCGCATGTCGGGTCGGGCGAAAGGGGGGGATAGCAAAGGGGGGGTTTGAGAATCAGCTCGCGTAGCTGATTTTCCCGGCGCCTCCCGGCGCCGGGAGGCGTCCATGTATCGAGGAATGGGCCCCTCGCTGAGGCCGAAACCAGCTGCATGCAGCAGATTTCGTAACCCCCCCTTTCCCAATCCCCCCCTTTCGCCCGGGCCGCGCATGCCAGTGGTTTGTTTCTCTCGTCGGCGCGACATTCGCCCGAGGCCGCCTCAAGCCCACGCCGGCGCCGCTTCACTGAAGAGCAGGCGCTCCTCTTCCGGCGTGAGCGCGGGCAGGCACGCCTGGGCCATGGCGGCGGCGCGCCGCCAGATGGCGGCTGCGACGGCGACTCCGATGGCCGCCGTGTGGAGTTCTCCCTCACCGTGGCCATGGCGAGAGATGCTGCCGACTAGCACGTCGCCGCTGAGGCTACGCGTTGGTTGAGCCGCGACGGGGGCTGTCGGGCGCGCCGCGTCCGGGCGCATGGGTGGAAAGTCGGACTCCTTGGCGGAATCGGCTGGGCCGTTTGCGGCGAAGGCGCTCATCCACGCGGCGTGGCTGATCATCGATTCGTCGGCGAGCTCGTGTCCAGCTGATCCCGTGTGTGGCACGGAGATGCTGAAGGGTATTGCCCGGTTCAGTGGGCTGGTGGCCGCGTCTCCTGGAGATGCGGCCAGCCTCCGCTGGCCTCCTCCGAGGCGACTAACACAAGCTGATCGTACAGTCGGACCTGGGCGAGACGAATACCCCTCAAGAACTTGAGGCCCTCCGCCGGCCAAGACAGACAGAACATCCAGGGGTACCCTCCCCAGGATGCGCGAGAACACCCAACATACACGAAGAACATCAGGGTGCCCTCCCCGAACCTACATCGACCTTCTGCCTCGGCCCGACTGCACTCGGCTCAGCGGGCTGGTGGCCGCGTTTGCTGTAGATGCAGCCGGCCTCCTCCAAGGCGACTGACACGAGCGGGACGTCTCGCCAAGACGCACGAGAAGGATGCAATGGGCCTTGGAAGGCCATGCCGACACTCTGCGGGCGGGGGCGAGGCCAGCGAGGGCTGCTCAGGATGGGCCAGAGGGAAACGATGCAAGGGCCACCGTGGGAAGTCGCTCAGCCTTCCTGTGCGGGTTGACTGCACGACCAACCTTCGGTCGGGCATGTCCCCTACAGCCAGACTTTTAGTAACAACAAATCCCGAAACATCCCCAAATAGTAAAACAAGTCGTCCCGAGACTATCTTCTGACCAGCATTTTTGAATCTCCCTTCTGTATAGGGAGGGACAGGCCCGACTTGAGACTAACCCTTGCATGCTTTCGGGGCCTCGGCGCAGGCGCCTCCCTTCCGCGCGAGCCCGGGAGCTCGGCGGAGGAGCGCGCTGCGCCGCGGTCCTCCTCGTGCGCGGGGTGGGGGGCGCGGGGCCGGGGCGGTTCGGCCCGCCACCGCCGCCGCGCGGGAAGGGCGAGGGGGAGAGGAGGGCAAGCTGTCGAAGGCTACCGGAATGACGCCAAGAAAGAGGGAAAGAGAGAGAGAGAGAGAGAAAAAGACAGACAGAGACACAGACAGAGAGACAGACAGACAGACAGACGGACAGACCGACGGAAAGACAGACAGACAGAAATACAGACGGACGGACGGACGGACGGACAGACAGACAGACAGACAGACGGACGGACGGACGGACGGACGGAAGGACGGACAGACAGACAGACAGATAGAGAAATAGAGAGATAGAGAGAGAGAGAAAGAGAAACGCAATCCAGAGGGAGTGCAAGACGGGGATGCGTCCTGCGGAGGATGTACCATGAGGTGGCATGCGCGTGCGGGGTGGGCAGCAGGACATTTAGGACACGTGCAGCGATGCGCCTCCCATCTGATGTGGGGCAGGCTGGCCCAGGTGGGCTCAGAAGACGAATTCATCAGCCGAATTCCAAAGCACGTAAAAACCATCGGGCGCCCCCTCCTAATGCCTCAACCGAGCAGCGGCGCCGCCAGGACGCAGCGGGCGTCCTGGATGAGGAAGTCGGTCACCCTTTCGGGGAGCTGCCAACGGTACACCGACACCGAGCGAGAGCCCCGCCACGGTTGGTCTCGGTGTACGCTTGCTAGGGGGCAACAAGATGCCGACACTGAAGCACCGGGGGGATGCCGACGGGGGGGGCAATCAGCGGGGGACGGCCAAGAGCTGCAGGAGAGCAGTCGGGGCCCGCAAAAACTTCTAATCCGCGCGCCCGGAGGGTGCCGGAAGGGCGCGGCGTCTCTCGGCGGCGAGCGAGAGAGGGGAAGTGAGAAGGAGGAGGCCCTCTCAGCAGGCGGAGGGGCCTCTCAGAAGCCACTGGCCTTCTGAGGAGTCTTCTGCGTCCTCGGGGCAGGCTCAGGGAACTCCTCATAGGGCCAGGGGGTTCCCGAGCCTTCTGAGAAGGCCGCGACGCGCGACGCGGGAGTAGCTTCGCGCACCTGGGGGTAACCTGCAATGACGCTGTGGGAGAGAAGGCCAGATGAGCGACGAGAAGAAACGGGTCTTACGCGAGATGGCACGGCGACCTCACGCGGCGGCTTCCGCGAGCCGCCGGCGAGGCACGCCACCTTGGAGACGAGGGCGCTTACGTGCCTTGCGCGAGCAGCTTTCGCGCCCGCGCCGGCGAAGACGACCAATCTTTCCTTCTGCGTCGCTCAGATGAGACATCGGCGGCTCTCCCGCCCAGCCCAACTGAAGGGCCCAAGGACACACAAATAAATACACACAAATAAAGATATTCCCCATACTTTCCTATATGTTCTGGGTTTTTGCCTTCCCCCCCCCCTCATTTCTCATATTTTCCCATACTTTCTGGGGGTCGACGATTAATTGTGTCTGTGTGTGTGTGTTTTTTCCCCTCCAGCCCAACTCCGCTCAGAATGGACCCCCGGACTCCTCCCGGGGTCCGCCCCGGCCCGTCCCCCGACGCGGACCTGGCCGCGGCGAGGGCGCAAAACGCCAGGGACGGCCGCTGCCTCGACCGGCCATCCTCCGACGCTGCTCCCCGGACCCCTCTCCCGCCTGCCACCGCCCTGGCGTCCATCTCCTGTGCATCGATTCTGGAGTCCTGGGAATGGGCACCAACACCAACACAGGGGGGTGCCTCCACAGGGGAGGGTGAACCCTCGATTTCGGTGTCGGTGGTAAGATGGCGGCCACCCTGGAAGCTAGAAATATTGCCACCATCGCCGGGATCAGAATCGTCTTTCTTCGGTGGACGCACACCGCCGATGTCGGTGTTGGTGTCAACCTCTGGGCCTGCGATGATTGTCCTCGTCCGTGCGCTTGCTTCTCAACATGGCCCCAGATGTTCCACGGTGGTCCAGGCCCTCTGGCGCGGGCCTCGCCAGGACAAATGCACACGTCTGTTGGCGGCGCGCACAGGGGAGCAGGGGGAAGGCTTCTTAGCAGGAGTCTGCTCCTTAGAAGGCGCCGGCCTTCCATCTTCAGACGAGGCCCGAGCCTTCTAAGAATTCTCCCCCTCCTCCCCCTCCTTCCCCACCCCTCCCCCTCCTGCCCCTCCTCCCCCTCCTCCCCCTCCTCCCCCTCCCCCCCCTCCTCCACCCCTCCTCCACCCCTCCTCCCCTTCCTCCAGCAGGACGTGCTTCTAGGAAGCCCCCCTCCCTCCCCTTCGCCACCCTCTGCGCGCGGCTGAAAGACGGTCCAGGCTTTCTGGCGCTGGCCTCGCCGAGCCAGATGCCAAGACGGAGCCAGGACGAGGACATCTTCGGGTGGGGGTTCGTCGAGGCTCTCTGAGATCGGGCGGCTCTGGACAACAGTGAAAGGGCCCTGGGACACACAAATAAATACACACAAATAACAGGATTCCCATATATTTTCCTAAATTTTCTAAGTTTTTGTCTTCCCCCCCCACTTCCCGTAATTTCCCCTCTTAAAAAAATCGACGATTGATTGTGTCTGAAACAGATCGGGCGCCGCGGCCTTCTCGGAGGGCTCTGGCTGGGGCAAACTGTAAAACAATCAAGGAACACCGAGCCCCTCCCCGACGAAAAGGGTTTCTTCTTCAGCGACCCGACTGTGTGTTGCTCCCATCGTACTGTAAGGGCCACATCCCAGAAAAAATTCGAGCACCAGGGGGAGTGTCGGAAGAGTGTCGAAACGGTGTCGGACGAGTGTCTCCCAGGGCCCGACGCGCGAAAACCCTCGAGCTTCGGTAGTTGTTGCTTGTGCTCCAAACTCTTTCTGGTGATCAAGGCTAAAGCCGGTCGGAACATCATAAACGGAGGGATGGTCTTAGGTCGGGCATGACCCCCTGGAGGCCGACTTCGAACGAACAATAAAACAACAAAAAACAAAGCTAAAATGCCCAAATCATTTGCCCAGAAATGTTAACAAAAAAGTCCTCAGAATCTTGTTTGGGCTATTTTTCAATATTCCTCCTGTAGAGGGACGCGCCCGACTTAAGGATGGTCCTCGGGCACCGGCACGCCGAACAGGGAACGAGAGGGGCTGCTCTTCGACGGCGAGCGGAGGGGGGGAAGCGACAGGGGCGGCGGGCCTGCTCGGAAGCCAAAGTTAGAAGTTGCCTGGGCCTTCCCCGAGGGCCCAGGGGACTTCTCAGAAGGCGCGAGGGCTTCTGAGAAGTCCCGCCGCCTTCTGAGAGGGCCTGATCCTTCTCCCTTCCCCCCTCGCCCGCCGCCGGACGAGGGTCAAGTCGCCTCCCTGCGGCGAGCGAGGGACGAGCCCGTCCTCCTCCAGAGAGAGGCAGACCGGCACACGCAGGCATAAGCTCCTGGGGGCCCGCGCAGGCTTCTTGCATCGGCGCCGAGCCCCCCTCCTGGGCGCGCGGAGCGCGCCAGGGGTAGTGCCAGAGGCGCCGCCAGGGCTGCCCAGCGCCGACAGGCGGAGGGCGAGGGGGAGAAGTGAGAAGGAGAAGAGGCTTCCGCAGAGGGCGGCAAGAATTCGCAGAGGGCCTCTGGCCCTCAGAGGGGCTTCCCGCGTCCTGGGGGAAGGCTAAACCTTGCCGTCGCTCTGACGTCCATTTCCCCTGCATGTTTCGTGCGTGTTTTTTTTGTTGCTCGATGGTCCAGCATGGTCCTCGATAGTTCTCGCCGAGAAAAAATCATACGTCCGAGCGATGCCGAGAAACAAACTTCTCAGAGGCAAGACGGTCTCCGAGCCTTCTGAGAAGGCCCGCGCCTTCTCACCTCCCCCCCAGGCTCGCCGCCGAGTGAACGAGGAACGAAAGGGCTTTCCTGGCCGACGCGAGCCTCGACCACGAGTGGCTTCCACTGCGCACCTGGACCCGGGAGCGGCCCGACTGCCAGGGCCCCTCTCGACCCAACAGAGCTTCAGAAGACGCTCCTGGGAGCCTCTCGTAATCACCTGAGTGGCCGCAGTGGCTCCTCCAATGGCCACCATTGGACCCCAGCGGCCCCCCGCACGCTTAGAGCCGCCTCCAGTGTCTCCTCAAGTGACCCCCCCGCGGCCTCCAGTGGCCTCCAGTGGCCTCCAGTGGCCTCCAGTGGCCTCCCGCAGCCCTTGGTGGCCTGCAGTGGCGCGAGCAAACGACTGTGGACCACTGGAGGCGCAGGAACGCCAGGCCAACTGACAATAAGAGGCTCCTTGTCTCAACGCCTTGGCTGCACCGGACCTGCTCCTCCCTCCACTGTGCTTTAAGTCGGGCCTGTTCCCCTACAGGGGGATTTTCGATGAAAAATAACAAAATGCCACAAAAAAAATCAAAAAAAAATTAAAAAATAGTATAGGGGACTATTTTTTTAGCATTTTTTGGCTATGTTTGGGCATTTGTTAAATATTTTTAATTTTTCGTCGAAAATCCCCCTGTAGGGGGACACGCCCGACTTAACCCTGAGCTGGACGTGCCCCGGCCTCTTCTTCAGGGGCATGCTCCGGTCCACGCTCGCCGGCTCCTCGGCGGGGCCAAGCAGAGGACCAGAAGAAGCCGCACAAACCTGACCCTCCAGAGGGAAGTGGCCCTGGGACACGCAAATAAACAGACAAACAACGGGATTCACCATATTTCGGCGGTGGACAAACCTCCCTTTAGTAGACCTCCCCTTAGTGAAAACGGCCTGGGACCGAAACCGACGGACCTGGACCCGCAAAAATGACGGCCGCGACGCCCTCTCGCGAACCGAAAAAGGCCAATTCCTTAATCGACGTGTCACTGTTGGGGGTTCTGTCCACCCCCAAATATTTTCCCATCTGTTCGGGGTTGTTGTCTTCCCCCCCCCTTCCCACATATTGCCATATTTTCTAAGGAAATCGACTCCTGACAGAGGTCCGCGCGGATTTCTCGGGTCTGCGCTGGAGGCGCCGCCAGGGGGAGGGGCCGCGGCGCAGATGCAAGCAGCCCGCGAGGCACTCCGGACGCGCGTGTGTCGGGCCGTGCAGGCGATCCCCACAGTGGTCCCGACCGCTTCCGCGAGGCAGTCGCTTCGCCGCAGGTCCGTGTTCGGGGATCTTCTGACCCGGGTCCATCCAGACCCAGGTCAACAAAGAGACCCGCAAGAGACCCCGGGACCACATCCCAGAAATAATTTCGAGCTCCCGGAAAAGTATCGTAAGAGTGTCGAAACAGTGTCGAAAGAGTGTCTCCCAGGGCCCGGCACGTCAAAACCCTCGAGCTTTGGGGTGCTTTCTTGGTGCTCGAAATTCTTTCTGGTGATCAAGGCTAAAGTAGGTTCGGGGATCTTCTGACCCGGGTCCCTCCAGACCCAGGTCAGCAAAGAAACCAAAAAAATGCAACGCAGGGGGAAACAAACAACTGCAGCGCAGGTCTTCGCAACACCGGGTCCGCCAATGGGCGCGGCCGCCTCGCGGCCACGAGCGGCTCGCCAACCCGGGTCGGCCAGAGGGGGTCCTCGCAGGACCCTGCAGGATCCGGTGCCCTGGCTGACCCCCGTCTGCATTGCCCTCCGTCTCTGAGGCTCCGAGGGAGGTGACTCGCCGCAGGCCCGTTCTATGGCGGTCCTGGGGACCGGCGCGGGCCCCCAGAGGCCGCGCAACGACGAAGCACCCCCCGTAGCTCGTGGGCGGAAACCGTACCCGCAGCCGCGGCCTCGCCGGCCGGGCCGGGCCCATATGGACCGCGACGGCGCGGATGCAGGGCGTGCTTCCGCGGATACTCCCCGCGTGGAACGTATCCGTGCGACCACGTAACCGCGGGATCGCTCCCCAGAGTCTAGACCGCGAGGGCGACGATACGGATAGGTTCGCCGCTCGGGAGTAACGATTTGTCGTTTCCCCCGTGTCTGAAGGGGCCCAGGGACACACAAACAAATACACTGAAATCCCAGGACTCCACAGTCAGACTTTCGTCTTCCCTTATTCTCCCTTATTTTCCTTGGAATCGACGATTACTGGGTGAACGTTTTCTTACTCGGCGCTTCGACATTGGGCGGAAGGGCGGGGGAAAAGGGGGGGTCTGGCTCCTGATCTCTGCTCAATGCGACTGTTTGCAACAGTGCGTCCCATCCACCTGCTTGAAACAGGCGCCCCAAAAAGTGGATTGGGGGGGAGGGGGTGCGAGGGCCCGCGCCGATCGGCAAAACAGTGCACAAGAAACCGACGACTCTTGCCTGTGCGGTTGTTGTTGATGGGGAATGAAATATGAGATAAACATGAACACCCGGAGGTCCGCGCGGACCTCTCTGATCCGCGCTGAATCCCCCCTCCCTGGCGCGCGGAGCGCGCCAGGGGCGGCGCCAGAGGCGCCGACAGGGGGCCCGAGCGCCGACCCGAGAACTCCGCGCGGACCTCCGAGCTGTTTATGTTGATGTCATGGTTCGTTTCCTCATTCTTAGGTCGGGCATGTCCTCCTATAGGCGGAGCTCTGACGAAAAGTTAGCAATATCCAACAGCATACCCGAAACATGATCCAAACAGAATCCAAACATCGTCCCCTGACAATGTTGGGGCTGTTGAATATTCCACCTGTAGAGGGACACGCCCGACTTAACCCTGCTCTGGGTTTCTTAAGAAGCGTGGGGGGATACCCCCCCGACGGGAGTCAGTCAACCTCGCCTCGTCGTCGCGCAGCGACGGGGGTCGGAGCGCCTTCGGCGCGCGGTGGCTGCCCGCGACGGGGGTCCATGTTGGGCTGTCGTCGGGGATGACGCCCCCCCGACGCTTATGAAGAGACGTTTTTCTTCCCCGAGGCATCCGGAGATTTTTCTGACTGCTGAATGCGACTGTTTGCAACAGTGCGTCCCATCCACCTGCTTGAAACAGGCGCCCCAAAAAGTGGATTGGGGGGGAGGGGGTGCGAGGGCCCGCGCCGATCGGCAAAACAGTGCACAAGAAACCGACGACTCTTGCCTGTGCGGTTGTTGCTGATGGGGAATGAAATATGAGATAAACATGAACACCCGGAGGTCCGCGCGGACCTCTCTGATCCGCGCTGGATCCCCCCTCCCTGGCGCGCGGAGCGCGCCAGGGGCGGCGCCAGAGGCGCCGACAGGGGGCCCGAGCGCCGACCCGAGAACTCCGCGCGGACCTCCGAGCTGTTTATGTTGATGTCATGGTTCGTTTCCTCATTCTTAGGTCGGGCATGTCCTCCTATAGGCGGAGCTCTGACGAAAAGTTAGCAATATCCAACAGCATACCCGAAACATGATCCAAACAGAATCCAAACATCGTCCCCTGACAATGTTGGGGCTGTTGAATATTCCACCTGTAGAGGGACACGCCCGACTTAACCCTGCTCTGGGTTTCTTAAGAAGCGTGGGGGGATACCCCCCCGACGGGAGTCAGTCAACCTCGCCTCGTCGTCGCGCAGCGACGGGGGTCGGAGCGCCTTCGGCGCGCGGTGGCTGCCCGCGACGGGGGTCCATGTTGGGCTGTCGTCGGGGATGACGCCCCCCCGACGCTTATGAAGAGACGTTTTTCTTCCCCGAGGCATCCGGAGATTTTTCTGACTGCTGAATGCGACTGTTTGCAACAGTGCGTCCCATCCACCTGCTTGAAACAGGCGCCCCAAAAAGTGGATTGGGGGGGAGGGGGTGCGAGGGCCCGCGCCGATCGGCAAAACAGTGCACAAGAAACCGACGACTCTTGCCTGTGCGGTTGTTGTTGATGGGGAATGAAATATGAGATAAACATGAACACCCGGAGGTCCGCGCGGACCTCTCTGATCCGCGCTGGATCCCCCCTCCCTGGCGCGCGGAGCGCGCCAGGGGCGGCGCCAGAGGCGCCGACAGGGGGCCCGAGCGCCGACCCGAGAACTCCGCGCGGGACCTCCGAGCTGTTTCTGTTGATGTCATGGTTCGTTTCCTCATTCTTAGGTCGGGCATGTCCTCCTATAGGCGGAGCTCTGACGAAAAGTTAGCAATATCCAACAGCATACCCGAAACATGATCCAAACAGAATCCAAACATCGTCCCCTGACAATGTTGGGGCTGTTGAACATTCCACCTGTAGAGGGACACGCCCGACTTAACCCTGCTCTGGGTTTCTTAAGAAGCGTGGGGGGATACCCCCCCGACGGGAGTCAGTCAACCTCGCCTCGTCGTCGCGCAGCGACGGGGGTCGGAGCGCCTTCGGCGCGCGGTGGCTGCCCGCGACGGGGGTCCATGTTGGGCTGTCGTCGGGGATGACGCCCCCCCGACGCTTATGAAGAGACGTTTTTCTTCCCCGAGGCATCCGGAGATTTTTCTGACTGCTTAATGCGACTGTTTGCAACAGTGCGTCCCATCCACCTGCTTGAAACAGGCGCCCCAAAAAGTGGATTGGGGGGGAGGGGGTGCGAGGGCCCGCGCCGATCGGCAAAACAGTGCACAAGAACCGACGACTCTTGCCTGTGCGGTTGTTGTTGATGGGGAATGAAATATGAGATAAACATGAACACCCGGAGGTCCGCGCGGACCTCTCTGATCCGCGCTGGATCCCCCCTCCCTGGCGCGCGGAGCGCGCCAGGGGCGGCGCCAGAGGCGCCGACAGGGGGCCCGAGCGCCGACCCGAGAACTCCGCGCGGACCTCCGAGCTGTTTATGTTGATGTCATGGTTCGTTTCCTCATTCTTAGGTCGGGCATGTCCTCCTATAGGCGGAGCTCTGACGAAAAGTTAGCAATATCCAACAGCATACCCGAAACATGATCCAAACAGAATCCAAACATCGTCCCCTGACAATGTTGGGGCTGTTGAATATTCCACCTGTAGAGGGACACGCCCGACTTAACCCTGCTCTGGGTTTCTTAAGAAGCGTGGGGGGATACCCCCCCGACGGGAGTCAGTCAACCTCGCCTCGTCGTCGCGCAGCGACGGGGGTCGGAGCGCCTTCGGCGCGCGGTGGCTGCCCGCGACGGGGGTCCATGTTGGGCTGTCGTCGGGGATGACGCCCCCACGACGCTTATGAAGAGACGTTTTTCTTCCCCGAGGCATCCGGAGATTTTTCTGACTGCTGAATGCGACTGTTTGCAACAGTGCGTCCCATCCACCTGCTTGAAACAGGCGCCCCAAAAAGTGGATTGGGGGGGAGGGGGTGCGAGGGCCCGCGCCGATCGGCAAAACAGTGCACAAGAGACCGACGACTCTTGCCTGTGCGGTTGTTGTTGATGGGGAATGAAATATGAGATAAACATGAACACCCGGAGGTCCGCGCGGACCTCTCTGATCCGCGCTGGATCCCCCCTCCCTGGCGCGCGGAGCGCGCCAGGGGCGGCGCCAGAGGCGCCGACAGGGGGCCCGAGCGCCGACCCGAGAACTCCGCGCGGACCTCCGAGCTGTTTCTGTTGATGTCATGGTTCGTTTCCTCATTCTTAGGTCGGGCATGTCCTCCTATAGGCGGAGCTCTGACGAAAAGTTAGCAATATCCAACAGCATACCCGAAACATGATCCAAACAGAATCCAAACATCGTCCCCTGACAATGTTGGGGCTGTTGAATATTCCACCTGTAGAGGGACACGCCCGACTTAACCCTGCTCTGGGTTTCTTAAGAAGCGTGGGGGGATACCCCCCCGACGGGAGTCAGTCAACCTCGCCTCGTCGTCGCGCAGCGACGGGGGTCGGAGCGCCTTCGGCGCGCGGTGGCTGCCCGCGACGGGGGTCCATGTTGGGCTGTCGTCGGGGATGACGCCCCCCCGACGCTTATGAAGAGACGTTTTTCTTCCCCGAGGCATCCGGAGATTTTTCTGACTGCTTAATGCGACTGTTTGCAACAGTGCGTCCCATCCACCTGCTTGAAACAGGCGCCCCAAAAAGTGGATTGGGGGGAGGGGGTGCGAGGGCCCGCGCCGATCGGCAAAACAGTGCACAAGAAACCGACGACTCTTGCCTGTGCGGTTGTTGCTGATGGGGAATGAAATATGAGATAAACATGAACACCCGGAGGTCCGCGCGGACCTCTCTGATCCGCGCTGGATCCCCCCTCCCTGGCGCGCGGAGCGCGCCAGGGGCGGCGCCAGAGGCGCCGACAGGGGGCCCGAGCGCCGACCCGAGAACTCCGCGCGGACCTCCGAGCTGTTTATGTTGATGTCATGGTTCGTTTCCTCATTCTTAGGTCGGGCATGTCCTCCTATAGGCGGAGCTCTGACGAAGAGTTAGCAATATCCAACAGCATACCCGAAACATGATCCAAACAGAATCCAAACATCGTCCCCTGACAATGTTGGGGCTGTTGAATATTCCACCTGTAGAGGGACACGCCCGACTTAACCCTGCTCTGGGTTTCTTAAGAAGCGTGGGGGGATACCCCCCCGACGGGAGTCAGTCAACCTCGCCTCGTCGTCGCGCAGCGACGGGGGTCGGAGCGCCTTCGGCGCGCGGTGGCTGCCCGCGACGGGGGTCCATGTTGGGCTGTCGTCGGGGATGACGCCCCCACGACGCTTATGAAGAGACGTTTTTCTTCCCCGAGGCATCCGGAGATTTTTCTGACTGCTTACCCGACCACCCCAACCCAACCCGAAGACACGAATTTCGGGTCGGGGGGGGGGGTATGGGCTCCTTATGTGTTTTGTTCGATGTTCCCCGATCCCCCCCCCACTGGAAATGGAGGGCAAATTGAGGCATTCGGGTTGGGTTGGGGTGGTTTGGCGGGTGGTGAATTTGTTCCGGGCCGATTTCGGTGGGTTCTGGGTTCCCGGGTTCCCGGGTTCGCGGCCGATCTCCTTTCGATCTTTTTATCACTTCCACGATCCATCATCGATCTCATGATCTACCTCAACCTTCATCTCACTCCATTGATCTCACCATCGATCTCATCAGACCATCCACTGCTTGGGGTTGTTCTTTGGTGTAATTCGTGTCCTATCCCAGGGTTATGTTGCTCCCATCCCGCTTAAGGACCACATCCCAGAAATAATTTCGAGCACCCGGAAAAGTATCGAAAGAGTGTCGAAACAGTGTCGAAAGAGTGTCTCCCAGGGCCCGGCACGTGAAAACCCTCGAGCTTTGGGGTGCTTTCTTGGTGCTCGAAATTCTTTCTGGTGATCAAGGCTAAAGTAGGTTCAGGGATCTGCTGACCCGGGTCAATCCAGACCCGGGTTAGCAGGAAACCAAAAAACTGCAATGCAGGTAAAACAAAAAACTGCAGCGCAGGTCTTCGCAAACCCGGGTCCGCCAATATGCGCGGCCGCCTCGCGGCCACGAGCGGCTCGCCAACCCGGGGCGACCGGAGGTGGCCTTCGCAGGATCCTGCAGAGTCCGGTGCCCTGGCTGACCCCCGTCTGCATTGCCCTCGTCTCTTGAGCCCCGATAGGTTGGAATATCATGATCCCTCGAGCTTTGGGATGCTTTCTTGGTGCTCGATTCTCTTTCTGGTGATCAATTTGGACGCCCGAAATGGGTACGCAAAAAATGGGTACAATGCTCAACAACAAACAGCGGCCGCTGTTGGGCCGGCGGCCTCCTGTCTCGAATGGACACAGGCCGCGGCGGCGCGGACAGCGAGCCCTGTTCAAGACGAACAAGAAGCTCTGCTGAGCACTGTGCCCATTCTTTCCGTGCCCATCTCGTCCGTGCAGAGTCGAGACTGAAGTAGGTTGGAATACTTGGGCGCCCGAATTATCCGGGGAAACTCGGGTCCGGGGTAACTCGGGTTTGGATTCCCGGAAAAGGAACCCGAGTTAGACCTGACCCGAGTTACCCCTGATGATTCGGGGCTCTGGACGCCCGAGTTATCCGGGGTAACTCGGGTCCGGGGTAAGTCGGGTTCGGAATCCCGAGAAAGGAACCCGAGTTAGCCCTGACCCGAGTTACCCCTGATGATTCGGGGCTCTGAGAATACCATCATCCCCGGGGCATCCTCGGCGGGGCCGAACAGGGGCTTCTTCTTGGCCGGCACCTCAGCGCCCCACAAACGGGGACTCCAGTAACGGGTACTTTGGCTAGTGACCCAGCGAACCCAACCCTTCCCGATGCGGGCAACGCTGCATTGCCAGAAAGAGGCCCTAAAGTGGCAACTTTCGGCAAAATTGCAAAGTACCCGTTAGTAAGTACCCGTTACGGTGCCGTTGAGCACCGCGGGGTCCAGCGGCCCCGGCGGCGGCCCGGCGCCGCGGGGCAGGCGCACGCGCTGCGGGGCGAGGGGACTCGGCTGCGGAGCCTGGGCGGCGGGCCTGCCTTCCACCCACCACCACCACGAGTTGGATGGGGGGGAGGAGAAGGAGGAGGAGGAGGAGGAGGAGGAGGAGGAGGAGGAGGAGGAGAGGAGGAGGAGGAGGAGGAGGAGGACCCCCTCCCCCTCCATTTTGTGGTGGTGGTGGTGGTGCTGATGGAAAACAGGCCCATCATGGCGGGGGGGCGGGAGGACCGGAGGCGAGCGAGGTGGCGACGGGACGGGGGGGCCGGACGCCACCGCAGCGAAGCTGTCCCGTCGAAGGGGATGGGCGCGCAGCGCACGGAGCGCTCAGCACGACGTGTGCACGAATCTGGCTTCAAGATCACGCCATTGATGCGCAGAGGGTACTTGGTACCAATTCTCTGGCGAGCCCCTATTCCGAGCGAGGTGGGGGGAAGCGAGCAGGAGGAGGCCTTCTGTAGGGAGACGAACAATGACATACACAGAAAAACTCGGAGGTCCGCGCGGATTTCTCGGACCTGCGCCGGACCCCCCTGGCGGCGCCTCCGGCGCAGCCCCTGGCGCGCTACGCGCGCCAGGGAGGGGGGTCCAGCGGCGATCCGAGAAATTCGCGCGGACGTCCGAGTTTTCATGCTTATGTTATTATATCTTCCCCTAGAGAAGGAGGAGGCCTTCTGAGAGCAGGGCTCGATCTAAAAGTTGGTTGTCGTTTTGTTTTCGTTTTGTGTGCCGATTTGGTGTACATGTGTTTTCCCGTACTCCCTGTCAAAACGAAAAACAGAACACAGCCGAAGTCCAGCAAGAGAAACTTTTAGGTCCAGCCCTGTCTGAGAAGGCCTTCTCCTTCTCACTTCCCCCCTCGCCCGCCGCCGGACGAAGGACAAATTGCCTCTCGGCGGCGAGCGAAGGACGAGTCGGTCCTCCTCCAGAGAGAGGCAAACCGGCACACGCAGGCATAAGCTTCTGGGGCCCGCGCAGATTTCTTGCATCGGCGCTGAACCCCCCTCCCGGGCGCGCGGAGCGCGCCAGGGGTGGTGCCAGAGGCGCCGCCAGGGCTGTCCAGCGCCGACAGGCGGCGGGCGAGGGGGAGAAGTGAGAAGGAGAAACGGCTTCCGCAGAGGGCGGCAGGAACTCTCAGAGGGCCTCTGGCCCTCTGTGGGAAATCTTCTGTGTCTTCGGGGTGCCAGCTGGCGCCCGCCGACCGGCGTGCACGTCGCTCGCTCCAGGCGGCCCACTCAAGCTGGGCGCAAGCCGAGCGGGCGCGGGAGTGCCGCCGACGCAAGCCGTACATCGCCACACGCAGACCTGCCACTCGGCGGAGGCGTCGCAGGTCGGCTACACTCCTGAGCTGCACCGCCAGACGACAGGGGGAGAGAGGGAAGAACCAGAAGCAGCGCGGGGCGTAAACAGCTGGCGACCAGCGCGGGGGCACCAAGCGCCGCCCCAGTTCTAGCAGACTGCTCTGCTGACAGCGCGACCAATAGGATCCTACTCCGCATGGTCCCCCCTTAACCATTCTTCATCTTCCCTCCACCAACATGCCGGAGGGCACGGCAGCAAACTGCAATTCAGGCTTGTCGCGCGTTATGTAGCACACGATACATTAAAGGTAGATCCCAGATCCGGACGAGGTGAGTTGTTCGAAAGTGGGCACGTGGAGACAACGTCGGATCAGACATCCAAATTGTCGCCTCGACAAACAGTGAGACCGTTGCCCTGACCGAACGCTCCTGCGACGACGCAGGGCCACGGCCGGAGCTGCGCAAACCTGCTCTTCCGGCAAGTCCTCAGAGCAGGTACGCCGCGCCAGGCCCACCAATTCCATCCATCCTCCCTCCGGTTCCTTACTCTCCCAGCTCCTTATCTTCCCACCTCCTCCTCCTCCTCCTCCTCCTCCTCCTCCTCCTCCTCCTATTCCTCCTCCCTCCTTCCTCCCTCCTCCATCCTCCCTCCTCTTTCCTCCCTCCTCCCTCCTCCCGCCTCGCTCCTCCTTGCTCCCTCCTCCCTCCTCTCTCCTCCCTCCTCCCTCCTCCCTCTTCCCTCCTCCCTCCTTCCTCTTCCCTCCTCTCGCCTCCAACCTCCCTACTCCCGCCTCCCGCTTCCCTCCTCCCGCCTCCCGCCTCGCGCCTCGCGCCTCGCGTTTCGTGCCTCCCGCCTCCCGCCTCCCGCCTCCCGCCTCCCTCCTGGCTCCTGCCTCCTCCCTCCTGCCTCCTGCCTCCTGCCTCCTCCCTCGTCCCGTCCCTCGTCCCTCCCGCCTCCCTCCTCCTCCCTCCCCTCCTCCCTCCTCCCTCCCCCTCCCTCCCTCCCCCTCCCCTCCTCCCTCCTCCCCTCCTCCCCCCCCTCCCTCCTCCCTCCTCCCTCCTGTCTCCTCCCGCTGCCTCCGCCTCTGCCTCCTCCCTCCTCCCTCCTTCCTCTTCCCTCCTCCCGCCACCCTCCTCCCTCCTCCCTCCCCCCACCTCCCTCCTCCCTCCTCCCTCCTCTTTCCTCCCTCCTTCAGTGGAAGGGGGAGTGCAGCGCCTACGCTATAGCGGGGCGGTTCGGCCAAAATTGCTACAGGCAGGAGAGAAAGAAGAGGGGGGACAGTGGCGCCTCAGCTGGCGGGCGGTGCAAACATGGCTACGAACAAGAAAAGGACAAGAGGGGAAAGCGACAAAGGCGGGCGGAAGGGGCTCGTCCTTTTCCTTCCCCGCCCCCCCCACTACAATATCCTACGACGACGACGGAGACGGCGGACGACGACGCACTGCGGATGCTCCATGGGCGGGGGGGGCGGGGGGGCTGCGCATGTCCGCTGTGCTCGTCGACGACGACGACGACGACCACGGCGACGACGACGACGAGGACGACGACGACGACGACGACGACGACGACGAGGACGAGGTCCACGACGACGATGACAACGATGACGACGACGAACACCACGACGACGATGACGACGACGACGACGACGACGACGACGACGACAACGACAACGGGACGACAACGGCGGCGATGACGACGCACTGCGGATGCCCCATGGGGGACTGCGTAGGCCCGATGAGGGGGGCTGCGTAGGCCCGATGTAGCCGTCGACAACGGCGACGACGACGTCGACGAAGATGACGACGACGACAACGATGACGATGACGATGACGACAACGACGACGACGACGACGACGACGACGACGACGACGACGACGACGACGACGACGACGACGACGACGACGACGACGGTGACGACGAAGACGGCGCCGGCGCCGACGACAACGACGACGGCACGACGACGATGACAACGAGGCGACGGCGGCGACGACGACGCACTGCGAATGCCCTATGGGGAGGCGGCTGAGCAGGCGCTCCGCATATCGACGACTGGGACCACGGACCACGACGACGACAACGACGACGACGACGTCGACGACGACGGCTGTGGCGCTTCAGTGGTCAGACTGGGAGGGGGAGAAACTTCGCCTCTGATGTATACGATCCCTATACCAAATTTATATACGAAGGGAAATCGTTTTTAGGCAGCCGTGGACGGGGGTACACGATCCCTTCGGCGACGCCCGCGACGACCCCCTGGCGCGCGTGATTAAATAAATTGTTGCGCGCCCCGCGGGAGCTATTCATCAGCCTCGGGGGGGGGGCATCATTTGCGAATCACAAGCTGACATCAATTCTCCTGAATTGATGGGAGGAGGGTGTAGGGTCCGGACTTCGACACGTGCTCGACGAACTCCAAACCCTACCTCCGCCGCCCATCGAACTGCCTGAACCGTGAATCGGCGAGGGCAGGGTTCGGACTTCGACGCCGATGCACGTCGTCCGCGGATCCAGCACACGCTGGGGATGCACACACTTGGACGCCTGACATGGGTACGGAAAAAGTGGCACGATGCCCCAAACAACAAGTGTGGCCCAGAACCATCCGCGGCCGCTGCTGGACAGACGGCCTCCTCCTGTCCCCAGATGGACAACGACCGCGGCTACGCCGTTAGCGAACCCGGCTCAGAATGAATTGTCGGACTCTGTACCCACTGTCTTCGGGGGCGGCCAAGAGGGGGGTGGCCAAGAGGGGGGGGTGCAACTCATGACCGGCGGCATGCGCGCGGCCCGGCGGGAGGGCCAGGGCCGTAATGAAACAAGAAGAGGCGCCATGAAACCTGAGGCAATATCATGGCCCGCGCCACGATAGCCACCCCCCCCCTAGTCATCACCCCCCTCTTTTCCGCCCCCGACTGTCTCCGCACCCACTTCGATCCTCCCCCACGGCTGCCCGCGGTCTCGGCGGTGGACAAACCTCCCTTTAAAAAAGACCTCCCCTTGGTGAAAACGGCCTGGGACCGAAATCGACGGACCTGGACCCGCAAAAATGACGGCCGCGACGCCCCCTCGCGAACCGAAAACGGCCAATTCCTTACTCGACGTGTCAGGGTAGGAAGTCTGTCCGCCCCCGACTGTCTCCGCACCCACTTCGATCCTCCCCCACGGCTGCCCGCGGCCCCCCGAGCTGTGGCCTGCGTCGCCAGCACCGGCGCGGCCGTGGCCGCCGAGCCCCCCGTGGACAGCAGCCCCGGCGGCGACGGCCGGCACCGGGCGTGCCCGGGCGGCGGCGCCGCCACGCGCCCGGGCGCCGCCGCCGTCCAGGTTCCCAGAGGGCGGCTCGCCTGGGGCTCAGGAGGACATGAGATCGGCCCATACAGTGAGGATGCGCGGTAAGGATGCACTGTCCATCGAGCGGACGTCCATTCCCTGTGTTTTTTTTTGGTTTCGTGCGTGGTTTTTTCGGCAAGTGATCAAGGATGCTCCTCGATGGTTCTCGCCGAAGGAAAAATGCCCACGTCCGAGCGATGCCAAGTGCAAGGGCATTGGACGCCCAAGATCGGCCCATACACGGCCGTGACCAAAGTTCCTTCAATTTGCTGTGGTGAAGATCTCCCCCCTCCCTCTCAAGATTCCTCACACGACACGATGCTGGGTCCTTCGGCGGAGAAGTCTCCGATCCCGGGAACGTTAATAACCCTGTTACGCCAAAATGGGATCGGAAACTACTCCGCGCCAAGCCAGGTAATTTACCGAGCGGGATGCGATTGCGCGCGGGGTAGTTTTATTAAAACTACTCCGAACTACTCCGCACGAACGCGTCATTCCAAAGGCAAATTGAAAGAAACTTTCGTCACGGCGATGTACAGGGAGGATGCGCGGTAAGGATGCAAGGGCATTGGACGGGCATGCCGAGGCCCTTCAAGCGGGGTTGGCCTCGACAGTGGTTGAGGATGGGCCGACGATGACCAAGGAGGCAAGGATGCAAGGGTACCGTTGGGAAGTCGATATCCTGATTACCAGGGTTGACTGTAGTGCAGGAGGGAACTCCATGGAGGTCTTCGTAGGAACGATTGTGAGGGCTGCTGAGCCCGCTCAAGGAGCCTTGAGCCTGACTAGCCCAGAGTTAGCCCGAGATCGCGCAAAAGAAAGTCGAATTCGGCAGGAGTCGACGGAATTAAGCGGGACTGCACGAGAACAGGCCGAATGAATCCAGTTCTCGACAACGGGTAAACCAGCGTCGATGCTGCATTTGACCACCCAGTAGTTGCACCCGAAAACGTACTCACACTATGCGCCCCCCTTGCAGGCGCACGTCCGAAGCCGAACTGCGGCACCAACATCGTGCAGTGCATCACGAGCCGGACAGCATTTGCCCCGAGAGCGCCCGCCACCGAGACTGGACTGTAAGATGGCCGAGCGCGCGCGTCGCCTCTGGGGGGCCTGACGCAAACACAGTACAAGTAATCCGAAAGCCCTTATAACGGCGACGAGGCGACGATCGAAAGCAGTGCCCCGGCACTGCTTTGAACGCGTTCAAAGCAGTGCCCCGGCACTGCTTTGAACGTATGATATGATGATATGATGATGATTATGATTGATGATGATGATGATTTTTCCAGCGTACACTGTCCGCAACTGCGGCAATCAACATCATGCTCCACTTGCCCGCAACTGCGGCCATCACCAACGCTGCGCCTCGAAGCTCCACGGAGGGCGCTCGGCAGGTCGCCCGCTCGAGCCCCACTCGACTTCACGCTGAGGAGGCGAGCCCTCAGGGGCATTGTCCGCAACTGCGGCATGATCAGAGGGCCACCACTGCGCGCCATCAGCGCCCCATTCGCTCGAGCTCCAGTCCCACCAGGACCAGCCCTGCCATCTCGTGGCGGGACTGCGCGCCTCCCATGCGCCGCTGCCGCTGGCGTCCCAGGACCCAGCCGCCACTGCGGCACAAGAAGGGGTCGCATCGTCGCCGTTGGCAGCTTGCGGCGGTGGCGTGTTCCCAGCTCGCTCAGCCCCAGCGTCTCTCCCCGCAACTGCGGTTCCCATCTGGGGTCGGACGCCCTTCCCCGCAACTGCGGTGTCCGCGTAGCTGCCCTTCTTGCCGCCCTTCTTGCCGCCCTTCCTGCCGCCCTTCCTGCGTTCCAACCTCGCGGCGAGTCTTTCAGGTGACCTGCGGCACGTATTGTGCGTGAAAGCCACCAGAGGGAAGTGCGCTCCGTGCCTCGCCCTGCCGAAGGCGCCATGCCATATCTTGTCGTCGAGGTTGCCCTGCTTCACTCTGAAGGGATAGCGCACCCAATCGTCGCGTTCCCTGCGCGCCATCCTTTGCTCGAACTCCGCATCTGCGGTCAAGGATTCGCCAGATGGCGTCAGGAAGGCGCGCATCTTGTTTTCAACGGGCTCAGCCTTGGGCACGTAAGTCTGAAGCATCTTCCCAGGGCCATTCGTGTAGTCGAAGACAGGGAAAGACGGATCATGCTGGGTCGTCAAGAATCCGCCCTCACGGTCGTGCAGAACACTCAGGCCATGGTGAAGCTTGTACTGCCCAGGACAGCTTATGAACAAAATCGCCATGCTGTCTGCCCTGGGCTGGCCGCCTGCTGTCTTCCAGGGGGTCCACGCGGCGACGTCCACAGTCAGGCCGCAATTGCGGCACCAGGACACAAGCTGGAACATGCACATGTTGAAGTCCCCCATGCAGACCTTCACGTCCCATTCCCTGACGTAGGCGACGAACCAGTTGTAGAACCCATGGAGCTTCGTGACGCCCCAGTCTTGGTTGGCCAAGCTGTGGTGGACGTGCACCGCCATGACGTTGAGGGAGCCCCCCAAATGGGGCACGGCCCGGTCCAGGTGGACGCGCACCACCATCGCCCTGGAGTACTTGTTGTGCAGCTTTGGCGCAGGAGCCTCCGCAACTGCGGACTGTTTCTTCTTCTTCTTCGTTTTGGACTTCTCCTGCTTGTGGAAGAGTCTCGCAAAGTCTACGTGTTCAATGTGGCCGCCACTGCGGTCCCTCATGCCAACAAGGAGGGTCCCTGATGGCTCGCCGCCCTTAACGCACAGGTAGTTGTATTGAGTCCGACTCCGAAACCTATCGTCCGCAACTGCGGCTGCACTGTCCCTCGCGTCGTGCTCCCCACTGAGTACCGCGCAGGTCTCGTCGTCGCACTCGCAGAGGGCGATGATCTGGGCAGGGTTCGCGCGGAGCTGCGCCCACTCGTCCGCGCGTTGCGTGGGTCTAGCTGCAGTCCCTCCGAAGTTGGCCACGTAGAAGCCGACCCGTCCCGCTTCGAACTCCGTTTTCTCCTCCCATGCGTCGACAAGAGCTCTTTGTTTTTCCGACAGATTGCTTGTCTCGATGATGGGCACCCGTTTCCAGGTTCTCCGCGACGACAACACTCTCGGCATGTAGGAGTCATGTGCTGCCGCAACTGCGGCTCCCGCACCTCCCCGGGACTCAGCCTCGTCAGCGGAGGCAGCCGAGGACGCGACGGTGCTGTCGCCATCTTGCGTCCGCTGGTCGTCGTCATCATCCGCAACTGCGGCTTCCTCGTCTTTGCCTCCCTCCTCCTCCTCAGCGTTGTGGATGAACACCGTTCTGGCGAATCGAGGTCCACGGTCCATACTCCCTGAGGATGCGCTCGGGCGCGCGGGCGGCCACATGCTTGCGTCTTCGCGTGCGCCACCTCGAGCCACGGTGGCTACGGAAATGGATCGTGAATGGGCATGGGGTCGGATGGAGGGAGGAGACAAAGAGGATTCGAGGAGTGGCAGAAGGAGGGCGAGGACTCAAAGGAACCGAAAGAACAACAAATGGACTGGCGGAGAAGCAGAAGGAGGGCGACGATTGCAAGGGACTGTGAAAGGATTATTTTCACAGCAGCAGGAAGACCGCAACTGCGGTTTTGCCTCATCTCCTGCCCGCGCGGGAGCCGCTTGGAAAAACAACTTCCCTCTGGACTTCCTGTGGGTCCGCAACTGCGGCCTGCATCACGCTAGGGCTGGGATTACCAGCGCCATTTGCCCTCCCAGGGTTCTCACTGTTTCCGAATGCACGAACTGCGACAGCGCCGAACGGTTCCCAGACGCCGCGTCGTTCGCGACTTTTTGCAGCCACCCAGCAAACGTGAGCGGCCATTGCTCCTTGTGCTGCTTGCACATCTCCTCGTCCCAATGCGTCTTGAACCATGCCCACTCCCCCCTCTGCTCGTCTGAGAGGACGCCTTTTCCGCGAGCCAGGCGATCCAGAGCTGCCATCCTGTTTTTCTTGATCTTGAACTCCTCGGGATTCCACTGCGCTAGGGCGTGTTTGTTAGCCAAAGCCGTTTCCACCGCAACTGCGGCCTCCTTCTTTGCCCTCAAGGCGGCCTCGGCCTCTCGAATCTGCTTCTTGAGATCGTGCAACGCCTTCGTCCTGTCGTTCGCTTCCAGAGCCAGGCGCCGCTTTTTCGCCACCACTGCGGCTTCGTGGTCTCGCTGGGCAGTCAACGCTCGTAGGACCTCGTTGTCCTCCCGCGCCAGCTCTCTCAACCGCTTCTTTTGTTTGTGTCGTTGCTGTCGGCAATCCTGCGCTAGTTTCTCCATGCCCACTTGGCGCAGCATATCTTCCGCCTCGCGGAGCGTTTCTGCCAAGGACGTCGCCACTGCCACCTGCTCGGCCGCCTCTGCGTCGACCACGCAGTCCATGGATACCGAGGATCCTTGAGGCCCAGGTGCCGCAACTGCGGCATCGCACTGTTCCGCAAGAGCCTCGGCCCACGAGGCCTCCTCTTGCTCTTCGTCCTCCTCGTGCTCCTCGTGCACCTCCTCCTCCTCCTCCTCCCCGCCCTCCTCATCGCCCTCCTCGTGGCCTGGCTCCTGGCCTAGCGCTTCGTCGCCGAGCTTCTCCAACACGGAATCTGTGGCGTCGTGTTTCTCGTATTCGTGTATGAGACGCAGCACGTCATTGTAGGACCATTTCAAACGTTTCTGCTCGCATTCTTCCCTCACCTCCGCGACTGCGGTGTCCACTTTTGCTCGCAGCCCCCCTGCTTCCCAGAGTTCCGCCGCCTCTCGGCAAATCTCGAGATCTCCTGACTTGTCGAAGGGCGCTCGAATTCCCACTTTCAGGAAACCTTTCGCGGCGTCCAAGTGCAACTGCACATTCTCCAACACTGACAGCATCAAGTCGGCGCAATCGGAACGCCGCAACTGCGGCACGTGCTTCCCCAACGCCATTTGCTGCACCAGCGCTTTGGTCTCGAGGGCAATGTACCGGCGCTTCACGTGCTGGTTCAAGTCCGTGTCCACGGGCTGCGCAACTGCGGTCGCCCCCCCGCCGTGAATGATCAGCACGTAG